CGGTCAGCTTCGGTAAGCTTCGGTCAGCTTCGGTAAGCTTCGGTAAGCTTCGGTTAGCTTAGCAACGGTAGCCATCAGGAAGAAGTGTCACCGCCCGGACGAGGAGAGCCAGTCCGCGGTCAATGGCTGCCCTCGGCAACTCGGGGGCCGTTTCCAGTCCCATGGTGATCCTGGCGCCCAAGACTAAAACAAAAAAGAAGCACTTCGTCCAGCAGAAGGTGAAGGTGTTCCGGGCCAGCGACCCCGTCCTCAGCGTCTTCATGTGGGGCGTTAATCACTCGGTAAGCCGCCCGTTAGCCTAGCTCGTGTGTTAGCAGCCCGGTGTTACGGTGAAATCTGTGACCCGTCGGATTGTGTGACTCTGATCGATCATTATCCGTGTTTAAATACAGTTTAAGTTATATGTGATGCCTCAAACACACACTGTCATATCACACCTGTATGCTGTTTTACTCACAGCATCCTCTGCACTCTGCGTTGTTGTCTTTAAAGTCTACAAATGTTGTTGTTGTTGTTGTTGTTGTTTGCAGCTAGTAGATGTTTACACGTTTCACAAAAGCTGTTTTTTTTGTTTTTTTTCTGTCTCACATCCAAAGACGACTGATGTACAATTCACTGTTTAATCAGATGTCCTTTCTTGTTTGGATCCAGGCTTTGTGACGAATAAAATGTTATATTAGAGATATTTTGTGGCAGAATAAAAAGAAGATTGTCCTCAAAAATATGGTTTTAAAAGAACTTTACATCAGATTTAAAACAAACTCCCAAGTTTTCCTAAAAAATATAAGATAGATTTATATTAATCACATACACCGATCAGCTATAACATTGTGAGCACCGCGGCGGCGTGAAGTGGATTAAAAACATCATATTGTGAATTATTTTGGAGATTACAGACTTATTTACACCGGAGCACCTGTCTCTGTAACAAAGCTACATAAATATATGAATAGATCTGAACATTATGGCTAAGATTTACTCTATTAATCCATAATGTTCCTGTTTTACACACACAGGTCTGAAAGTGGAGAGACGGTGGAGAGACGGGCGGCCACGTGGCGTCGCTCCAGGAGCAGTTAGGGGTCACAATCGTTTGTTAAAAGCGATTTAAAGTGCTGTTAAAATGCCATAATCCTACCAGAATACGTTAAAAGGACCACGGCGAACAAATCAGTGAAACGTCTTTATCATTTCGTGGAATCTGACGTGAGGAAGAATGCAGCAGAACAAGTGTAACCTCCTTTAATGTTCCTCTCAGGCGTGTGAAGGGGCTTTTATATGGGTTGATAGTGTGTTATTCTACTGTCAGAGAATATAAAAACCTCTTAATGTCGTCACACTGTAGGCTTCGGTTACGATAAGGTGCCACACTCTCGTTTCTTGTTTCCCTATTTGTGCGTTTGACAGTCCGCTGACCTTTTTGGCCCGTTGGTTGATCAAAACAAGACACTTTACGTCGCCGCCTTAGGCACTAATCAATAATAAAGGGATTAAACGTGCAGCAACCAACGATTAGTTTCAGTTTCAATTATATTGGCAATTAATTAACGAATCATTTAGTCAATAAGACGTCAAATAAACAGTGAAAACGCGTGTCGGAAGTTCAGTTTACGACGATGTAGAACAAAGAAAATATGAGATATTGGAGAATCTGGAACCAATTAAAAAATAAACCTAAACGTTATTAATATATTATCAGAATAGTTCCAGATTGATCGTCTTTAGATTAAGAACTCCATTAATCTACTAACTGTTTCTGCTCATGAGAATAAACGTTCGCTGATCGTCTCGATCGCTTTCTTCCCTCAGATCAATGATCTCAACCAGGTGCCTGTTCCTGTCATGCTGCTGCCGGACGACTTCAAAGCAAACACCAAGATCAAAGTCAACAACCATCTCTTCAACAAGTAAGACCCGAGCCGTGATTACACAGCGAGGCCGGATTGGTTCAGATGTAAATAAGTTAGACAGCTTGGCGGCCTGTGATGCTTTCAAGGAACCAGATAAAATCAGCGGCGGTCGGCTCTCGTTGTGCAAGAAGAAAAAGAACAGATGAAGTCCTGAAGGGTCGTTGGACTGCAGAGTTAAACAGATGTTATGTGTGAAACATCTGTGTATGTTCAGCCTTCTCACCCCCCCCTCCCCAACTCTTCTCCTTCTGCAGAGAAAACCTTCCAGGACATTTCAAGTTCAAAGAATACTGTCCTCAGGTCTTCCGAAATCTAAGGGAACGGTTTGGGATTGAGGATCTGGACTATCAGGTATTGGCCTTCTAACGTTCAGTGGATCTGGTGTCACTTTGTTGGCTGATAAATGAAAAGAGATGTTTGTAGAAGAGACACTCTCTGTGTCCGCGCTGGAAACACATCTAACTAGTTTTGTCACTAGAAGCACACTCACGCACATTTGTAAAAGTTTCTGTGACGTGAAAATGTCAAACTTAACACATTAATTTAGATGAATTTTTAAATTAACTGGTTTAAAAACATGATTTAAGGTTCTGTTACGGCCACATTCTAGATAAATGAGCTTATCTTTGAAGACAGTTATTGATTTCTGATGCCACCTTTTAGATATTTCTCTTTACTGGTTCAGCAGACATTTTGTCATTAATAATGGCTGCAGACCACTTAGGGGAAGTCCTGTTATTGTGAGCGTTGGTTCACTGTTACTGGGACTCTTAATGGAACTGATCCACCTGTGTTTTTCCAGCTTAGACACGTCAAAATGTCTGCTGTACAACCAGTAATGTAATGAGATCTTCATTTAGGGGCTTCTTTAAGCAAATATTGATGTATTTAATGTTTGCTGTCGATTCGGAGTCGAGCCGTTGGTTGTACAGGAGCAGACGGGGAACCACTGCAACACGACTGCACACCCACAGACTTCAGTTTCAGCTGATAAAAGTGGTCCAGTTACTCTTTAATAATGATTTCCACTCTCGTCCTCCAGGTTTCGTTGACCCGCAGCCCCCCGATGAGGAGCGTCGACGACCAGGGAGAAGGTCTCCTCCTCAACTCCTACGACCGTACGCTGGTCATCAAGCAGATCTCCAGCGAGGACGTTGCAGACATGCACAGCATCCTGTCTGAGTATCACCAGGTAAGGGAAAGAAAAGGGAACGAATCACAACACAATAAAAATGTGTTTGTGTGTCTGTCAGTGCTTTCTGACTTCCTCATTCTGTCTCTGGCACTCATTGGTTGCACACATATACGGTTTCCTTCAGGGATATATTTAATTCATTGAATTACTTCAGGTTTTTTGCCTTTGTGCAATGTGTAAAATGTATACACTGGGAAATGGTGTTATTACAACACAGCCACTGTCGTGTCTCCAGTTGTAGGTAACCTGTAGCTCTTCATCCCCTCTGCAGTTATTTCTTAACATTTTCATGTATAATTGTTGTTGTAGTCCTGAAGAGATTCTCATATTCTCCGATTATAAAAATGTGTAAAAGAGTCCCAATGTTTTGCAGGACCTCAACAGCAGCGACTACGAGTCCTGAGTCTCCCCAGCGAGGCCAGCAATAGATTCAGAATCCAAAAAAAGAAACATTTCGGAGGCAAATAGAGAATTTAATGGAGCGTAGACGTATTAATTAGTATTTCACGACCACGCTGCCGTCTGTCTGGAGCTCAGATATGATTTGTGTCTTTACACAGATTTGTTTTTCGCTCTTTTGATAATAAAGGTTGCTGACGGCTGACCTACAAATTCTCTGCAAGATGCCACTAAGTCCTACTCACTGGTCCTTTAAGTGCATAATAACGATAGCAGCTGCACACTTGGTTCGGCTCATAAAGTCACAAAAAATATGTTTAAATCGAATCTTCGTCTAAAAAAATATCTAATAATAAAAATGTGAATCGTCCTCGAGCTCATATTTGTTGGCCCGACCCTGGTTTCAGTCAAACAGCTGGCTGAGTGGAGCATTAGTTGGGGACTATTTTCAGCGGCTGATTAATTCACATTTGGTGCTCTGGTGAGTATTTGGGGCAGCAGGACGGCGTATAAATAAACTACAGCGTGCGTGTTCGTGGTAATAAAGGAACTTGTGGCTCACTGATGTGTTTTTAATAGTTTTTAGACAACAATGGAGCTCATGCCACATGAGGAAGCACGAGCATACATCCACTCTTACCTACACCCACCACACAACCACAGCACACACCACACCCCCCACACACCACACACACACACAGAGAAAGAGGTACCTGTCTGTCTGTGAATTCATTGTTGGTTTTTGTTCTTTCACGCTTGACAAGGAGGTAAATATAGAAGATCACCAGACGGGTTATTTTAACATCCACCCAGGACCTGAATTAGAATTCATGTTTGAGAGATTATATGTTTATTATTGTTGATTCATTTATTGAATTTGAATCAGACAGAATGGTGTTAAATAAATAGGTGGAAATGAAAATGAGAGTGAATCACAGTAGTTTGTTAACCTTCCTCTGAATGCTCTCTCCTCCGTCTGCCTTCTGTTCACTCACTCATTCATTCAGAGGGTTTCCTGTCAGTTTCCAGACACATCACACAGAGCCGGGATCAATCACCTCCCGTCTGCTGTACTGAACTCTGTACGAAGCCTCACATCTATGGCGCCGCGTGTCCTACTTACAAAATATTCTCTCTTTAACCTTTGTTTGGACCTTTTTTGTAGCTTAAAACCTCCTGAGAGCGTTTGTCACAGAGTTCCTAAAATGAGCTCTTCCTCCGGCTCTTTTTATCATTTTATTTTTCTGCCTCGTAGGTGAGGGGAAGTCGACCCAAATAGGGTTATTTTTAGATTTAACGTGTTGCCGGGAGCAGCAGAGCGGCGCAGCAGAGTAGGAAGATAGCTGCACATTCAACCCGAGGACGGGAAACATCTGTCCTGCCGAAGTGTCCTTGATGTGGCTCTAAGGTGCCTCGCTCAAACCGAACCTGACCGCTGACCTCCCTGTGGGGGGGAGGAGCTAAACTGCACGAGAATATCAAAACAAAAGCGTGCCTCTCGCCATCAAGGTTAGCCGACGTTACAGCCCCACTGAGCGCAGGGGACACAACAAATGCTCTGTTATAGGATTGTTGGTTTGTTAAAGATATTCAAATGCTCATATCAACACATCTATGTTTTATGTAAATAGCAGATAACGTTTGTGGGTGAGATAAGAGCGCGGTGACATGCTTTCACCTCTGTTACGTGTTTGTTTCTGTCAGGTTTTTATTCCTCGTTCGCTGCCCGGCTCGGTATCAGCCTTCAAGCCTCTTTGGGTTCTTCAAAACTGGGTCTCGCTTCAGGCTAAACAGACCACTGAGTAAACTTTTGGCTGCTTTGAGCTCGTACTGGAATGTGTAGCCTGTGGTTACGCAGCCTACATAGAACTGGGAGGGAGATGAGGGGAAAATGGCAGCTCTGTTTCAGAGTGTTTTTTAATTCACTTGGCCCTGAATGAAGTCATTGTTATCAGAGCTCCTGCGTTGGCATCGCACAGTTTCCTTCATTCATCGTGACAGTTTGCAGGTTGCAGTTTATTGTCAGTTTATTGTCAGCATTTGGTTTCAGGGGAAATACTGGAATATCTTTTTCAGCTCACAGTGCAAAAAGAACAAAATACTGGGATCCTGTACTGAAACAAAAGGGCCAGCTTTGCTTTTAAAGGCTTTATCCTTGTTGTGCGTTTGGCTTTTTTAGGTCTTTTTAATTATTTGGATGGATTTCCAGGATGTTGAGGGTCAGCTTTTGTGGGTTTTTTGGCAGTTGAAGGGATTTTGTCTTGAGACCAGCCTTTCAAACTGTTTCTCAGGGTTCGTCTGCGGTCCTGTAAAAACCAGGAAATGTAGAGACTTTGGATTAAAACGATATCCTGGAAATAATATATACTGTATAAACGTATAAACACATAAACGTATGTATTTTTTGACTGTTGGTCGGATGAACTGACACTTAAGAGCTTGTTTATCAGATTCAAAGTGGAACGGACTGCAGCGATCTTTCTGACAGGGAACACTTTAACTTTATAGAAGATATATTTTATGTAAAATTTAATAAATTCTACTTGATTTGAGCTGTGGCCAAATTAATGTCGTCAGTTTGCCTGAAACTTGTATGACCTCCTGGAAATAATCTGTGCTGGACATTTCCTATTGTATTTAAGCTCCTTGCTCAGATCACCTACGTAAACCTGCGCGCGTGTTTTGTTAAAGGATGACACTTCGAAGAGGGTTCAGTATGTAATTTAATATCACTATTACTGACAGAGTACATCCTTTCGAAGGTTAAAATGGAAAAATGATTTATAGATGAAATAATATTGTCATTAAGTTCTGCTCATCATACTGCAGCGTTGTCTGTTGGAAAAAGTCTTAAAGGCTACCAGAACATTTACAAACAGTGCCTCCGACATGCTTGGAACGGAGGGTTGAGGTGAGGGTTTGCAATATGCAACGATTGGGATAATTGGGAAAATAATTGGCAGTTAATGCTGACGTGAACAGAGAGTGACGATGTAGTCTGCCAGCTCTGGTTCGGTGTTGGCTTAGCAGTTGGAATTGGTTTTGTGCAGGTCCACAATCTAAGTTTCAAAACAGTACAGTTACCTTAACGGATACAGTTTACAATAAGCCTACACACACACACAGCACACACACACACACACACACACACACCACACACACACACACACACACACACCACACACAAACACCCTGATAGCACGTGTCTGTTCTCAGCCTCCTCAGCTGCTCTTTCACTGGCAAGCTCGATCATCTCTGAAACACAGTAGCTGGGGGATTGAACCGGCTCTCTGCGCCAGGCCACGGTTACCTAAAAAATCGAACCGCCACCGACAAAAAAAAGGCCGCTGTCGCACACGTACGAGCGAGCGAGCGCTGTCTCGCTCCAGCGGCACCTGAAGGAGGTCCAGTCTGTAGTGACGCGTGCGGCTGACACGTCGTAACCTCCGGATACCGACTCAGCCTGTTCTCCTTACAGTCAGAGTGTCCTTTGAATGTGTCCAAATGTTCACCTGCACACCTTCAAACTGTCTTATACTCTTTTACTGTATTTTGCAGGTTTAACATTGACGATGTTTAAACGCACACTGATAATTTTGCACTATTATTCCACATTTGAAGGTAATTTAAACGGCATATTCTGTTTAGATATTCCTTATTCAGAATGGAGCGTTTTCTGATTAAGAAATGTGTGATGTGCTGATATTGTTCAGGTTTTAGGAGCTTTCTTTGGACATGTATACAGCGGATTTGTGGATGTGATACACGATGCATCCTGATGCACGGTAAGCCCGTATTTCTGGTCAGGAGGAGAAACACACTGAATTTTAAACATTATGAATGACTTGGATATCAACAGGTTTTGTGGATATGAGCAAATATCACAGTGTCGACCTTTACAAGAAGGTGGTTGGATGAAAGAGGGAGGGTGTGTTTGCATAGTCGAACAAGTCTGACTTGTTCAGGCTTATCAATGTGTTGGTTTTATTGCTTTTATAACAAGAATATCGAGCAACAGACAATGACATTATTGTAACCTAATATCTGCCTTTCTTATGTGTGTTAGTACATGACGACAGTTACATAGCTGGACACGCATCCACTGAAGCTGTCCCATTGTTTCTTTACCAGATCATTTTACTAGTTCAGTCTAAACAGCACTGTTAGAAACACTTTTACCACAAAGGCAACATGACTGCACTTTGAAACACTTCATTTTCTTTAGCTATGTAAACACCTTTAGTGGGAATATTTAGCAGAAACCGGAATATTTTGTGCATGTGAACGCAGTCAGTGAGAGCGCGCCGGGCCGATATTCCACTTTCTGTCACCAGCCATGCAAATGAAGTGTTGTTTCCTCTCTGCAGCACATAGTGAAGTGTCACGGCAGCACCCTGCTGCCACAGTTCCTGGGTATGTACCGTGTGAGCGTGGACAATGAGGAGACCTACCTGATCGTCATGAGGAACATGTTCAGCCACAGACTGGTGGTGCACAGGAAGTACGACCTGAAGGTGAGGAGGAACTGCACGGCACAACAGTTACAATGACCTTTAATAACACATCCCTCTTCTCGCCACTGAAATGTGGAAGTCCTGCCAAACATGGCGCTCATTAACTAAGGTTTTAACTAAGAGAATCTTTTATTGATCCCCAGAAGGGAATTACAGATGTTGCAGCAGCTATGGATGCATCGATTAGGAACTTCTACTGATGTTTTTTTGTTGTTATTGTTATTTATTCACACTTTTGTGCCAGAAGAGCAAATGTACAAAGATGAGCATCTCTGCCACGTTGCAGCTCAGTCTGTTTCTGAGCTGAACATCCGCTCACTCATGCTGCTGCAGGGAGCGCGGAGGTTTGTGCGCAATAAAATATATGATAAAAATTAGACTAGAAATAGAAATGGAAACTATACAGGAGGAATTAAACTAATAACTAGGCAAGAGTGCCGTAGTGGTGTGATTAGTAGCAGTAAAGTACAGTGTAAGTAAACACTGTGGACCAGACTGATATATAATATGATTAAGCAATGATACTTAGTGTTTGTATTCATATAATGTAGTCAAACAGTGTAACATATTAACATAATATTGTATGAATATAAAATATAATGTAAGGTGAAATGTGGGGATATAGTATAATGTGCAGTTAGGAGTTAAATGTTTAGAGACTAGTTTTCCTGTCATGGAAATTGATTAAAATGACCAAATATCCTATCTATCGCTGTGTAACTGCTATGTAAACCTTCGTTGGAGGAAACCTGCAGTAAACTGTAGCGGAGATGCTGCAGAAAACTGGTGAGAACAGCAGAAAGCGAGCTAACAAGTTTCCTATAAACACTGATCACCTCCTGTTATGATCTTCATCATGAACCTGTGTCATTAAAAAAGGAGGAATAATGACGAATGGGGAAAAATGATGCCTACTGGTAAATTATATAACCATCTGTGAGCATGTGCTGTCCTTTATTGAGTTCATGTTGACAGTATTCCTCACATTGTCGTTGCTGCAGGGATCTCTGGTGGCTCGGGAAGCAAGTGACAAAGAAAGGGTAAAAGAAGCATCTTTTCTTCTGTCCGTTTTATATCTTCATGTCATCATACCCGCTGTTTCCTCCCGATCCCGAACGTCTGAAGGTGTATTTTATTCCTAAAAAAGGGAAAAGAGCTTCCGACCTTCAAGGACATGGACTTCAGGAACAACATGCAGAAGGTGTATGTGACGGAGGAGCAGAAGGAGAAGTTAATGGAGAAACTGAACAGAGACGTGGAGGTAGGTGACCTGTTCAGTGTCTGTAAACCTCGCTGCTGTCGCACAACTCTGCCACACGGCGGCAGCATCGGCACATTTAGGACACACGGTGATGCCTCCGATGCCATTTTGGCAGCAGGAGGAGGACGGACGGATGTGAGACTCATTTACTAGTGAAGGAGATAAATTTAGATATTACAAACTTTAAAGTGATTAGTAGATTAATTGCAGCTGATAATGATTAATCCATTTTTTGCCCAAGACTAGATTCAGTGTAATGAGGGAAAATGCCACATTTGTTCTGATTGGTCTGAAGTCTGGAAATTTGGTCTATTTTGGGCAAGTATCTGACAGTACACGTTAATGTGTGATTTGTTCTATCAAATGTCAGAAAATTGTAATAAAGTAGACTGAAATGGTTTGTTCTGTTGGACCTACAGTGCAGGGATGTCCTCACAAAGCTTCTTATCAAACACCCCTCTCTCATTTCCTCCAGTTTCTGGTGAGGCTGAAGATCATGGACTACAGCCTGCTGCTCGGCATCCACGACGTGGGTCGAGCAGAACGGGAAGAGGACGAGGGCGAGGAGGTTTCAAACGAGGAAGAACCGGAGGCGGAGAACGGCCTGGCAGTGGGCGCTACGGCGGGCTCGTACGGCACCTCTCCAGAGGGAATCGCCGGTTACATGTCCGCCTGCAAGCCTCTGGGGCCCGGGGAGTTCGACCCATACGTGGACGTGTACGCAGTCAGGAGCTGCGCAGGTGAGAGCTCGCGTCACGCCGCTAAATTGCGGTGTTTCGGAAAAAGTTCTTGATACTTTTAGATTGTTAGTTTGAGCCCGTCCAAAGTCAGGATCTGTTCCTCTTCCTCACGTGTACATGTGTTTATATCTCGGTCATCTGAGAAAGTAATGATATAGCTTTAGAAGTTCTGATATTCATTTCTTACCGGGGAGCTTTCATCTTGATGATTGTTGTACGCGACCCGCCGCCGCCGCCAATACAATAACCCTGATTGTTCTCTGCCTTTCATCTCAGGAGCCCCGCAGAGGGAGGTCTATTTCATGGGCCTGATTGACGTACTCACTCAGTACGACACGAAGAAGAAAGCCGCTCATGCAGCAAAAACTGTCAAACACGGGGTGAGTAGAACGAGGGAGGAAGGGAGGAGGTGGAGGGCTGCTGTCAACATGCAGTCGTACCTGCTGGAGGCCAACGTTTGATGTTAGGCTCTCATGTCGTGTCTTAAAGTAACGCACACTGATGATGCTGATGACCTTTGTTTGCTCTCCTTCTTCCTTCCTCTCTCTCTCTCTCTCTCTCTCTCTCTCTCTCTCTCTCTCTTCTCTCTCTCTCTCTCTCTCTCTCTCCTTTCTCCTCTCTCTCCTCTCTCTCTCTTCCCCTCCTCTCTTCTCTCTTCCCTCTCTCTCTCTCTCCTTCTGAAATCTCCACAGTCCACCCCGAGCAGTACGCCAAACGGTTCCGTGACTTCATCTCCAACATCTTTGCGTAGCACTAATGAACGCTGCCATATGTTGATCCAACTGAGAGCTAAAAGTCTACTTTACCTTTGACCAAAAATAGTATGCACACACAGATCAGCGTTTAAACGTGCTGATCTGAGGCGACACTACTTACGTTGTAGCAATATAATGTACTACTTCTGATGCATATATTTATTTTTAAGATTTAAGAAGCATTTCTTCTAGATATTAAGCACTCTTAACGGAATAACTCTGGAGTTGTAGCGTACATGGAAACAAACTGCTGTTGATCAGTGTTCATAGACCACGTCAGTGCGAGATCAAAGATTGATTTTATCTTTTGCCTGGTTGCAGGCGTGAACTAAACGTACAGGAAAGGTTGACATTTTGGGCTTATTTGCTTTCTTTCCAAACGTTACATGAGAAGATTTGGTGTGTGTGTGTGTGTAGCACTATGAAACACATACACAGTCCTTCCATTCACCGTTGATCCACAGGCGGCCGTAACGTGATAAGATCTGCGTGACGACTGTGTGTCAGTAAACATGGATGCAAACAATTCTGGATTTAAAATACATCCTACATTTTAAAAACATGTTTACAGCCTGGCACAATAAACAGTGTTGGTCTTTATAGCCAAATTCCCAGCTCATGACGACTGTACGAGGAGTGAACCTTTATATAAGTCACTCGTTTAGATTATATTAGGGTTTAAAATATGCATAATTAAAGGCATGGTCACCTTTTTAAAGACAAAGACTAGTTAGTGTAGATTCTGTAAACTGGGGAAACAGCCAGCCTGGTTTCTAAAGACGGTTTCTGAGGATGTGCACAACATGTTTCTGCACAGATTGTGAAATGATTAACGATCATGTTAATCAGCGAGCGTCAGTGGTGCTTGTAGGTTGTAACCTTTAACACAGAGCCAACTAATGTAACTGGCTGCAGGCTGTAGCTTTGTATTAGCATCGATCTAACTGTCGGTAAGAAAGCGAATAAGCGTGTTTTCCAAAATGTCAAACTATTCCTTAAATCTTAGAGTAATGCTTTAATGGAGATGGGTATTAAAAATAATGCGAGTCTAGACTCTTAATAATATTTATCTGTTGAAGCAGGCCATTTGAATGTTTAGAGTGCCAAATGTGTGGGATCAAAGCTTTGTCCTATCAGGATTTGCACTTTGCATATAATTAAATCAAATCGGTTAAAAGAAACACAATTTGAATGGATCAAATCCTGTTTTCCACCAAAGTTTATTCTAAATTTTAAAGAAAATGTACAGAACAGCCTTGTCAGTGTGGTATTTAAATAGAAAGCACGTCATAATATTTAGCCTGTAAACATTGTTAGCAGCCCTGCATCTCTTAGTTACCACAGCCTGTAAAGGGAATGCGGGGTGGCTGACCTTGGAGCGATTCCTTCACCCACAGAGCTCGGCCCGCAGTAATGAAGTGACTTGTCCAACTTTTAGGATCAGGCCTGCCTTTTTTTTTTTTTTTATGAAAAACGTCAACGTGTCGACATCAAAACACTTGTGAAAATGAGCCCATCCATCATTATTCTGGACTCCTTTGTGAACACGCTGTAGTGTTTTGTGCATTAAAATGGCAAATGTGCGCTCTGTGAATCATTGTGATAAGAAAAGATATAGAAGAATCTAGCAGTAGAACTAGCAAACTGTTGTCTGTGTATTGTAATGACATTTGAGATTTAGTGATAACAGGGTACTGTGTAAAACAATGTCGACAGTAACACTACATTTCAGTAGCTTATGCAGTTAGCCTTAACACAGTGATGATAGAGCTTTCTGAGACACTGGCCAGGCAGCGTAGATACAGAACAGCACTCTGTACGATGCCTCATCTACTCGATGATTGCACAAGTTGTATTTTTGCAAATCAGCTTTTGGACCAAAATATATTTTACAAAGAACTTCTGAAAAGTGTTGAGTCGTTATTGTCTGGAACGAGTCGGGGAGGGATTCGTGGAAACGTTTCATCTGGAGATGAACCGAAGAAAGAAGAGAGCATCTCGACTACAGCGGCGGTAAACTCGGTCGGGCCACCACCTGGGTTCAGACAGAAATATCTCAGATTGGAGGCATTGATGATGTTTTCTACTGACTTTGGTGATCAGATGTTTCCTTTAGCGCCATCTGTTGTCTTACAGAACACACTGACATCAATAACTCTCTAACATTTATTGTCTCCTGGTTTTATTTACATATTTAGGTATCAGGTTACTTTCGTACGTCGACTGATCGATGCTACTGAAGTAAAGTCTGTTCTACAAACACCAACTTAGTAGTCAGGACCAGGTTTAGTAAAGTAGTAAAGAGTTGGTGCAACCCATCCCAGAACCTTAATTAGTATCATTGGTTACACCAGAGTTTACCCTACTATTTCTAACTAAATGTCTGCTGTGAGAAAGGTCTATAGACTCTTGTACCTGCAGTAAAATGTCTTTCACAGGTCGGATTATCAGGTAAACTACAGGTGTTTGTCATTATAGTTGTTTTAATCTAGTGTTAGATCAGCGGTTCCAAACCTTTTCCTGAAGAGACCGCTTTCCTATCATTGTGTAAACTGACAACCCCTCACTAAGTGACTTATGGATATTTCATATATTTAATAATAACAGTCACAGCACAGAACAGCTGATAAATTGAACAAATAACCCAAACAGTGAACTCAATAACTGCAGGAAGTTTGTGTAAAACCAGAGATTTTAATGAATTTTTAGCAGATTATTTCCTCTGAATATTGATCAGAGATGAGTTTTACTGATATATTTATACAGTTCTGTGTCTGTATTATGTGTTTGTATCATTTATAACAATCATACAGACTTACCAGGCTTCTTTTTCAGACAGATTCAGTGTTTCTTCTCATTCAGCTCAGCTCTTTGGATGTTTATCAGAGACTGAATGCTCTATGAATACAGTTTCTGTCTAGCTTAAATAAAATCAACTTATTTACAGAAATGAACAAAATGTTGAGCTATCGGCCTACAGTGTGTATTTTTTTAAGTCTTCTTACACCCCATAAAACCTCGGGACCCCCTGTGACGCTTTGGCGACCCCTAGTGGGGGTCCCGGCCCCCAGGTTGGGAACCACTACCTCAGATAACGTATTGAGGGTCAGGGACTGCTATTTGTCTCACTTTGTCCAGAAGATGTGTTTTTGCTGACGGGTTCCTTCCTGTTTAATCAGAAGAGAGAATTTGCTGACTGGTTCCTCCTCGTTTCACCAGAAAACTGAGGGAACTGAGACAATAGGAATCAGACAGGATGAGCAGTGAGACCAGGAGGGTGTCATTGAAGGGGTCATTAAGCCACAAACTGCTGACGATCCGGAGACGCGATGGGAACACCAGGTCCAGGGAGCAGAGCCCATTAATCAGTGCGAATCGCAGCAAACACAAACGTTCCAGCGTTCTCTCGGTGCGACGCCGACCTCACGACCCTCAGCAGTTCCTAAAGCGCTTCAACTCTCCAGGAACTGTTCGCCCAGTGGCATCGCTTCCTATGAAACGATGCCAGGGTCATCACCTGGAAATTGATTAAAAACACCAAATATCCTGGAAATGGTAGATTGTGATTGTATTCACTCAGATCTACGCCTCAGACCGCTGGTAGAATAAACTGCGACACATTCAAAGCAGGTTTACCTTTTCCTTTACCTAGTAATGAATACAACTGAGGTTCACTGGTTGTCCTGTACTGTCAATAAATGTCCTGGAAAGGTGTTAAAGGGGGAACCGTGAGCTGAAGTGAAGCCAAACTGCAGCTCACTGTTTAATAGAGTGTTGAAATAAAGTGATAATGAGGATGTGTGTGTACGTCTAGGTTAAAGAGCCCCTTTCCTCAGTGAGGTCCAATGTGGCCCCGGGGTTTCCCACCTCCCACTATACTGTGCCTGCCACTCACCGTGCCCCCCACAGCTCGGGGGGGGGGGCTTCCTGGCATTGTTTTCTGCTATGTGAGGAAACTCATCATCACTGAGTTTACACAGACTGAAAATGAACCCTTAAACGTCCAGAGTGTAACATTTAGGAGGAATGGAATATAATGGCCACCGTAGTTTCTCCTGTACACTGTGAAGGCTGAGCTGTATTCAGTTGGTTGCAATCTGTAAATCCTACACACTGGTTACTAAAGATAAGCAGTTCCCTGACCTGAGGAGATTTGGTTTTTATAACCCCTTAAACAGAAATGAAGTGGGATCCTGAACTCATGCTGGGTGAGATGTGGATCAGTGCAGGTGGACCATGTCTGTGTATTCCAGCTATGGGGAGGAAGTGGGACGTTTAATGTGAAGGATACTGGTTTCATTTCTCTCTGTGAGGCCTGGAGATATTCCTGAAGGTCTGTTTCATTTTAAAGGTTAAATAAATGTTTAATTTAGAGTCATCAGATATGAAGTTACAGCATTTTGGATGGAAAAACTGGTTGTTTTTGTGCTTTATCCAACAAGATAATTCTGTCTGAACACTTCTGCAATTTACTATAATTAACGCACATTCCCTTACACCACTCCCCTCTACGCACTGAGGATGTCCTGTCTGTCGATCTGTCTGTGTGTCTGTGTGTCTGTGTTTCTGTGTGTGTGTGTGTGTGTGTGTGGGGGGGGGTGTGTGTGTGTGTGTGTGTGTGTGTGGTGGTAATGTTGTTGCTTTGTTTTTTGGGTTTTTTTTGGGTACCAGTGGGCCCAACACCCACACAAGGATATGTGTGTGTAGATAGATAAGCTGTGTGTTGCCATGGTGTGTGCGTGTGGTGTAATGTGGTCGTGTGTTGGGATGTGGTGTGTTTGGTTGTGTGTGTGTCGTGTTTAACCCACCTCTTCATAAGTTTTTCCTGGTTTAGCATTCCACTTTCCAATTCATATGTTTTTCCCCTTCAGGTTTTGCGGGCAATAATGTTTGCGGGGGGCAGTAATGCTTATGAGAACTGGGAGGGGTAGAAATCTCTGGCTGTCCTTGATATAGCTCAGATAGTCCTCAAGACTCCGGGAGTGGGGAACGGACTCATCTGGAGTCTGCATGGCTTTCATCAGGAAAAACTCTCCATGAGAGCCAAATGGCCTCAGAGGATGGATCCTCGCTGCACTCGTGGCTGTCATCTGCTCGTTACGATACATCAGAATCAGTCACAGACCCTAAGGTACGCTAAAGTGCAGTTACTACTTTTAGTCGGACGATGTTACAAAACTGTTATAACAATCTTAAATGTTGTCAATTAAATGGGACTCCACATGACGTGGTCTGGTCTTGACTATGGTCCTTAGTGCGGATGTAAGGTTACATATAAAGGTGGGCGGCCGGTAATGCATCTCACTGTTCACCTCAAGTCAACATCACTTGAGTCCGTGTCAGTTGTAGACTACATGTTTGAAAATTAAAGAAAGGTTTTGACGTTACAAAGAAAGTGAGCTCTGTAGACAACTCATAGTCTCAGGATTGATTTATGGAAGCTTTTCTACAAAAGATATTGCAAAAACATTTTTTTTAGGTATTTTTTTT